GGGCTGGGAATGTAGCTCAGTATGAAGGCCATTGGGGGTTCAATCTCTAGTACCAGACAGAAATAGACACGACTCTAAAGAGAATATGGTTTTGTTTGGGCTTATATATTAAATTTGTAAACTAAATTGGGAAGGTCTAATGGTTTAACAGTCTGGTTAGAAGCTTGATGTATTTCTTGATTTTGGGAGTTGGGAGTTCCTTTATGTCTTTCAATGTAATTTATTTAGAAAATTCTAATGAATATACTATCAGTACTGAAACTGAGAATTAGGTCAGGCCTCTTACCTCAAGTGAAAAATTTTGAATAGTGCCAGATAGAGTAATTTGGACTCAGCAGAAAGACATATCTGAGATTTTCTTTTGCTCTATTTAGAATTCCTTTTTTCTGTCTTCTTGAAACGGGTGCTGAGTTCATTTATTTTCATTTTTAATCCCTTTTTATACATACATTCAAGCCTTTAAATTTCTCTCTGAATACTGTTCTGCTTTGTAGAAGATTCCTAGTGTGGTTTAGATTTCTCCATAGTTTGCAATTTCAGGCTTGAATTCTACTTTAATCCAAGACTTATTTAAAATGATGTTTTAAAATTTCCATCCAAGTATGTATAAAAGCGTGAATGTATGTGGATTCAACTGTTCTTTTGTTGCAAAATTATAATTTAATTGCATTGTGGATGGGTATGTAGTTTCCATAATTTCTTCTTTGGAAAATATATTCAGATTTTCTTTGGTCCTCTTTTATTGTTAGTTAATGTAAGTGTTCTAGAAGAGGGCTTTTTTTTTTTTTTTTACAATTTTTTTTTTTTGTGTGTGGAAGGGGTTGTTTTCTGAGATAGGTTCTTGCTGTGTAGTCCCTGCTGGCCTAGAATTTATGGTGCCTCAGCCTACTGAGGGCTGGGATTACAGGATGCACTATCAGGCACAGTGACTCTAGAAGTATTAAAAGGATGGTATATTTTTGTTTGTTTGGCATAGGGATATTTCTATGAAATTAAATGTACTAATTGTTCTACAGAACTTCATCACACCAGTGGTATCAGAGGGAACTTTTCAGGATGGGGACCTGTTCTGTCATCTCCATTGTCCAATACAGTAACCATGGCCACATGTGTTGCATACTGACTATTGTGTTAGATAACTCAGCTCCAAGTCTCCTTTTGCTTTAGTTTTACAAATCCATCTGTCCAGATAGTTTGTAAGAATGGTACACACGCATTCCCCCCCGCCCTCTGTTTTTGAGACAGAATCTCACTATGTAGCCCAGCTTGGCCTTGAACTTGCCAAGAGCCTCCTGCCTCAGCCTCCCAAATGCTGGGATTACAGGTGTGTGCCATGTACCTGGCACACTATTTCTAATAGTTTCTGCTTTCTATAGTTCAACATTGTGCTGTTAAGTGCGAAAGGGGCTGTGTTTATTGTATCAAGGTTCTTGGGAGCAGCAACAAACTGATTTTGTCTGGTGGAGCAAAATGGGTCTTCCTAAGGATGCCTGGACAGGCCACAGCGCTGCCACTGCCCCTCCACACTGCCCCTGGACGTGGCTGTTGTCTGCCTCTGCCTCACAGGAGACTGTATGGCAGCCTCAGCAGGAGTGGGCACTGCATCCACCAGGAAGCAGGGTGTGCTGCTCAGTGGCCCAAATCACATCTTCCTGTTTGTTCCTGCTACCAAGGTAAAGTAATCATCATTTTCTGTGACAGCCTTGAAGTGTGTTTTTCAGCATCACCAAGCCAGGGCTTTGTTTTTGTTTTATTTTAGTGGATGAAGCCTTCCAGTGTCTTTATTCAAATTACCGCAGGTTGGGCCTTTCAGACGACAGAACCAAGGGACTTTTTGCCACCCCTGTACCTCTGCCGCTCCCTGGAGTGCTCCCTGAGGAAGTGCAGAGCTCCGCATGCATACTGCCTCTTTTCTAGGCATCTCTTGCTTTATTTCTGTGGAGTGAAATTGCTGCACTAACAGGAAGTGAAGCAGAGACCTGAGAGCTTGAGTCACTGTGATGGGGAGAACCCTAGATGACAGACGCTGGTGACTCTCAGAATGCGCAAGGGTTTATCTTATTCCACCTCTTGGGGTCACTCTTGGCATTCCGCTGACTTCATAAAGGAGGTGGGGGTGGGGGTGATGGCATTTGCCTTGACCTATTTCTTTGAGGCCTGGATCCTGGGACATTATCATACTAACTAGAAGAGGCAGGAGGCGAGCTCCGTGTCAGGTCTTCTCAATTCAGTTAATTATCTATGAATAAACATGCTGGAGGCAGCAGCGTGGTAGTCCCTGAAGGAATCAGGGACTCTGCATGCCGCCACTCCGACTACTATGCGATTTAGAGCATTATTTCCTTCGAAGACAGGTACAGATATGTTAAGCAGGAAAAATTCACTTGAGTTTTCAAGGTAAATAACACGATGTCAAAGCAATGGTGAGTGGTAGCATGCCTGGGTCTGTCCCCTGTGCTTCTTAGGGATGCTCTCTAGAGTGGGGAGCACTGCAGTGGGAAAGCTATTTCACCCTTGAATTGGTCAGACCATCCAAAATGGGAAACAGGAGGCTCGCGGAGGGCCCCCTCAGAACGGTTCCTGCTGACTTGCTCTTCGGTGGAGAGCAGCCCTGCTGCTCATCTGTCGCAGGACGCGGCCTGCTAGCTAGGACGATGCTATGGGGAGACGTTTCTCCTTTTCTTTAAGCGGTGGGTGCCAGGTGTTTTGTCTCAGCAACAAGAGAGCGACTAAGACAATTATCATGCCTAAGAAAATTTACATTGGTTGTAAAATAATACATAATAACCTATCTTCTGAATTTCCCAATTCTCTCTAAAATGCCCAATATAACTGCTATTTTCAGACCAGGATCCAGTAAGAGTTCAACCATTTTATTTGGTTGTTTTTTTATCTCTTTGGTCTCCTTTTACTGACATTAATTTAAGACTCTAGAACAGCTTTCTTGTAGAATGTTCTAAACTTAAAATTTTATATTTCCTCATAGGATCATTTATTTTGTTACTCCTCTATAAACTGAGGTAAAATGTGAAGGTTTGATTACATACATTAAGCATTTTGGTGTGGTGGTGAAAAGTTTTCCTCCTGTATTACACAGGAAGCAAATACTGTACAGTTATCCCCTCGTGGATACAATGGTGACCATTCAGTTTCTCCACTGTTGAAGTTTTTACGTGATTTGTTTGGTAATATTTGGTGCCATGCTAATATCCTGTTCTTCAGAAGCTTTCATTGAGTGCTTCTAGCATCCAGGTATGGTGTGCCCTTGAGCTAATTACTAGGGGTCACAATGCACTGATTTTATCTACCCTTCTACCATTTCTTATACGTTAATTAGCTGCCTGTTTATTCATTGCCATCAGATACAGTCAACCATGACTTTTGATGTTTAAAGTATTCTGAATTTTGCCAGAGACTGTGCTTTTAGGCTGGCTTCTCTGTTTTTTGTTTTTTAACACGGCTCCTTAAGTCTCTGACAGCTTACTTGCTTTCTGGAACACAAATGTAACCTTCGCTCACCTCATAGTTTCTGTGCTCCAAACGTGGGGTCAGCTATTTCTCTAGGGAACATAGCTAATACTAAGCAGCCGGCTGAGCCCATTATACTAATAACACAGCAACTTTCTTATTTCACCTTCAATGAGCCCCTAGGGGCTGCAACTGAATATATCTGTGCCTGTGTCTTTAGGTTCAATGTGGTCTTATTGCGTGGCAAGGATGAAACACAGGTATGTTGAAGGATAGACCCTAATAGGCACCAGCCAGCCTGGTGGCTCTCAACCCTGCCTATTATTAGAATAGTTTGAAGACCTCGTGAAAGATGATAACACAGGCTCCATATTGAAATATAATAATTTAATTCATCTACTGTAGAGAGTTTAGGTCAGATTCCATATCTAGGTTTGAATCCCAAATTCAGCATTTATCCCCTGTGTGAGCTCTCCAGGTGTGTTCATTTCTGCACTGTAAAATAAGGGTGAAGAAAGTCTCTTCCTTGCAGGCAGCTAGGGGATCAAGCTAACCCATGCACAGTGCTTGCAACAGCATCTGGCGCTGAGTTAACGCCAGGGCGTTGTCTGCCACCCATGTTAGTGGGAATCCGCACGGTAGTGCCCACTGCGCTTCCCTCCCTGACATAACTGCTCCCTTTCCACCCTAGACTAGCTCCCAACTGGACCGCAGAAGACAGAGGGGTTTGAGGGAGGTCAGATGGTCTTGACAGATGGGGAAGCAGAAAGGCTTCCCGGTTCTGGGTGAAGGAGGGAGAGATGGGGAAGGGCTGGGACTCAGGTGGAAATGCTGCCTGGATCCACTAGAAGTCAGTCGAGGACGACAGTGAAACTGCCCTGATGGGGGTGAGAGGAAAGAGAGAGAGAGAGAGGAAGAGGGAGAGGGAGAGAGAGAGAAAGAAACCGTTCTCAGAGAGTTACAAAGTAAAACCAAGTTGGGGCTTGGTCAACAGGGTGCTGGCTATGCCCTCAGGAGCAGCCCCTCTTCTTGGTACACAAGAATTCTGGGGTTCCCCTGTGCTAAAAACACGGGAATGGCCTTTGGTGTTCAGTTCACAGGAATCTTTTGCCAATTTCCAAGACCACAGTGCTGCCATCTCTTGGATGTTCTCACAGCAGTCAGTAAGTTTTGCCACTAGGTGTCATCAGCCACCAATATCTTCTGTTTTTGTTTCCAAAAACCTGTCTCTGTAATGAGCCATTTCTGCCTTTTTTACCCAGAGACCCACTTCTAAATGCTCTCCCTACAGGAAGTTCAGAGCCAAAAGCTGACTACTTTTGGGGCAGGAAAGGAGAAAGAGTTGACTGTTTCTTTTAAAAACAGAACTATTTTCTTTTAAAAACAGCATAACCCACACTTTATTTATTTATTTTAGACAGGGCCTTACTAGCTAGTTCAGGTTGGTCTTGAACTCACTATGTAGCCCAGACTGATCTTGAACTCACAGTGATCCTCCTGCCTCAGCCTCCCAAGCACTGAGATGACAGACCGGCCTTATAAATAAATTTCATTTTAGAAAGTATACAATTCAGTGATTTTTCAAAGCACATTCACAAAGTTATACAATCATGACTGTTTAATTTTAGAGCATCTTCGTCACCTCAGCGAAACCCTGTACCCATTACCAGTCACTTTCCATCAACCCTTCCCCTGGCCCCTGATAACCATAAGATTATTTTCTGTTTCTGTGCAGTTGCCTTTCCCGGACATTTCATGAAAATGGGGTCATACAATATGTGGTCTTTTGTGGCTGCTATCTTTCACTTAGATTAACATTTTCAGGGTTCACTCAGGTCATAGTGTGTAATAGAACTTCATTCCATTTTATTGCCAAATAACATCCTACCACATAAATATAGCATATTCTATTTATCCATTCTGTTGATAAATGCTGCAGTTGTTCACTTTTTAACTGTTACAGATATTGCTGCTGTAAACATTCACGTATAAGCTTCTGTATGGACAGATATTTAGAATTCTCTTGTGTAGCAGTAGAATTTCTGGGTCACATGGCAACCCTGAGTTTAACCTATGAGGAAATGCCAGGCTGATTTCCACAGCAGCTGTATATTTTCTGTTTTCCACAGGAGTGAATAGGGATGCCAACTTCTCCAATTCTTGTTGGTATTTGTTATTCTCTAACTCTTTAACTATAGTCATCCTGGTAGGTGCAAAGTGCCATCTCAGGATTTTGATTTGCATTTCCACAATGGAAGGAGTGCTAAGCACTCACTGGAGAAATGTCTATTGAAGTCTTTTGCTACTTAAAAACATAGATTGTCTTTTTATTATTGATTTGTAAGATTTTTACATATAGTATAGATACAAGTCTCATCAGATATAGGATTTGCAAATATTTTCTCTCATCCTTTAGTAGTTGGTTGCTTTTTCATTTTCTTGATGTTGCCTTTTGAAACAGAAAAGTCTTAAATTTTGAGGCATGATTTGTCTCTATTTTTGCATATACGGTTCAGGTATATCTAAGAAACCACTGTCAATGTCACAGAAGTTTATACCTATATTTTCTTCTATGAGTTTTAGAGTTTTAACACTTATGTCTAAGTTTTAGATCTATTTTGAGTTCATTTTTGTACATGGTGTGAGGTAGGGATCCAACTTCATTCTTTGGCATGGGGATATCCAATTATTCCTGTGCCATTTGCTGACAAAAAGATCTTTTTTCCATGAGACTGTCATGGAAGCTTTGTTGACAATCAATTGGCTGTAATAGAAGGGATTACTTCTGGACTCACAAGTCTATTCCATCGATCCATATATATTCTATGCCACTATCACAGTATTGATTATTATAGTTTTAAATTAAGTTTTGAAATTAGGAAGTGTAAATCTTCTAACTTTATTTTTCTTTTACAAGATTGTTTTTAGTTATATTGAGTCTCTTGCATTTCCATTTGAATTTTAATATCACCTTACCAAGTTTTATATATAATGTCTTACTATCTATTTAGGTTTTCAATTTCTTTTACTAATGTTTTGCAGTGTACAAGGCCTATAACTTTTTAGGAAGAAAATTTATTCCTAAGTATTTTATTCTTTTTGATGCTATAGTAAATGGAATGGTTGTTTAATTTCATTTTTTGATTGTTCAATGCAAGGGTATAAAACATAACTGCTTTTCGTATACTGGTCTTATGTTCTATAACCTTGCTGAACTAATACTGGCTCTAATAGTTTTCTTGTAATTTCTTAGGATTTTCTCAACACAAGATTTTGTTAGTTAGGCATAGTAACACATACTTGTAATTCCAGCACTCTGGGTGGCTAAGTCAGAAGGACGGAAAGTTAGAGGCCAGTCTGGGCATCCTAGAAAAATCTTGTCTCAAAATAAAATATAAAAAGCACTGGGGATATAGTTCAGTGTGAAAGTCCAAATTTCCATCTCCAGGACAAAAAAAAAGAGACTCTTCCCCCCCCAAAACCAGATCCTGTCACATGTAATTACCTTTTATCACTTCCCAATCTGGATGCCTTATCTTTTCTTTTTCTTTCCTATGTTTCCTGATTATATACTCCAGCACAATTCTGAATAGAAATGGCAAGAGTTCGTGATTTTAGAGGAAAAATTTTTATCTTTCACTCTACGAATGATATTAGCTGTTGGATTTTTCATAGATGCCCTTTATAAGTTTGAGAACTTTGTCTTCTATTTCTAGTATACTGAGTACTTATATAGTGAGTGAGTGGTAGATTTTGTGAAATCTTTTTTTTTTTTTTTTGCATCTATAAAGATGTTCATCTTTTTTTGGCTTTTATTCTATCAGTATGGTAGATGACATCAACTAATTTTCAGATGGTTAGCCAACATTTCATTTTTCAGATAGATTCTGTTTGGTCTTGATAGAGCATTCTTGTTGTATGATGTAGGATTTGGTTTGCTAGTATTTTGTTCAAGATTAAATTAGGAAAAAAACGCATTCACAATAAACCAAGAAAAATTAAATACTTAAAATTAACCTAACAAAGGAAATGAAAAAAACTACATATAGTACTCTGGAAAGGGAGACTGAGTAAGACTTCAGAAAATGGAAAGACATTACTTGTTCCTGGACAAGCTGAACCTGAATACTCAAAATGGGCATACTTTCAAAACTGATGTATAGATTTAATGCAATCTCAATCAAAATACCAACAGCATGCCTCACACAACTGGAGAAAGCAATTCTGACATTTATATGGAACCAGAAGAGACCCAGAAAAGCCAAAACAATCCGGGATAACAAGAGCAGAGCAGGAAGAATCACCATCTCAGATTCGAAGTTATATCACAAAGCCACAGTGATCAAAAATAGCATGGTTGCAAACAGACATATGGATCAGTTCAACAGACTAGGTGACCCAGAAGTAATCCTGGATACATTCAGTTATCTGATCTTTGACAAAGGGGCCAAAAACATACCCTGGAAGAAAGATATCCAAATGATGCTGGGAAAACTGACTATCCTTATGCAGAAGACTGAATCCAGACCCATATCTTGTATTAAAATATGTATTAAAATAAAAATCAAAATGAATCAAAGATATAAATATTTAAAAAGAAGCATTTAATCCACTGGAAGGTAAAACAGATAAAGATCTTAATAATGCAAGCATAGGCAAGGACTTTCTTACCAGAACCTCAGTTGCACAGGAAACAATATCAAGAATTAACAAATGTGATCATTTCAAATTAAAAAGTCTGCACAGCAAAAGAAATACCTAACAGAATGAAGAGACAACCTATAGAATAAGAAAAAATTTTTTACAGCTATTCTTCAGACAGAGGACTAATATTTGTAATACATAAAGAATTAAAAAATTAGACTTCCCTCTAAATGAGACCCAATCAAAAAATGAGTGAGTGAAATGAACAGACACTTCCCAGAAGAAGAAGTACAGATGGCCAATAAATGCATGAAAAAAGGCTCAACATTGTCGGCCATTAGAAAAATACAAATTTTAAAAAACACTGAGATTCCATCTTACCCCAGGAAGAATGTCTATCTTTAAGAAACCAAATATTGACAAATGCTGGAGGCTGTGGGAACTAATACAACCACTATGGAAATCAGTATGGAGATTCCTCCGAAAAATAAAACTAGAAATTCCATTTCAGCCAGCTAGCCCTCTTCTAGGTATCTATCCAAAAGAGTTAGGGACATTATATTACAGTGACTCACACACACTTGTGTTTATAGCAGCACACTCATAACAGATAAATCTTGGAAGTAGCCTATATTGTGCATCAGTAGATGGCTGGATAAAGAAAATGTGGTGTCTACACACAGTGGAGTACTGCTTTGCCATAAAGAAGGATAAACTTGAGTTATTTGTGGGAAAATAGGAGCACCTTGAGACATTACTGTTAAACGAAATAAATCAGACACAAAAGCTCCAGTATTGCATAGATGCCCTTATATGAGAAACCCAGAGAATAAATAATGAGCAAAATAAAAGAGAGATAATAGGAAGTAGGGAGCCAGATCTTTCATAAATGGGAAGGGTGTCAAGAGACAGAGAACAGGAGGAGACAGGGAGGAAAGGAGTGGAAAAGAATGAAAGTGTTTCTGTCTATGCACCAACTTTACAAGGGTATGTGATCATTATGTACCACAAACACGGGCTAATGAAAGAGAACTCACAGATATGAAGGACTATGTATTCTTTTGTTTAAAACAAACTGTAAGAGCTAACTTGTATGCATATATATATATGTATATATATTTTTTTGAGACAGAGTCTCACTATGTAGCTCAGGCTGCCCTTGAACTCTCTATGTAGCCCAGGCTGACCTCAAACTTGTGGCAGTCCTCCTGCTTCAGCCTCCCTAGTGCTGAGATTACAGGTATGTACCATGCACCACCATGCCTGGCTTTATGCATATATTTTTAATTGACAAAATGTGCAGCACTGTAGATCTCAAAAGAAGACTCTCCCACTTATATTCAGAAAGGCTATTGATGTATTGTTTTTTTTCTGCAACATCCTTCTCTGGCTTTTGGTATCAGCATAACATTGGACTCATAGAACAAGTTGGGAAATGCCATTTTTCCCATATTTTGTAAGAATTTCAGAAGGTCCTGAGTCCTGACCTTCTTGAAGCCTAGCACTGGCTTCCTGAGGTCATGCTGGTGGTGGAGAAAAGACCTTCTGATGTGTCCCAGGCTTGCCTTTGGCCTGGAGGAAAATAACACATTGCCCATGATGTCTGTGACAGGAAGAAGCTGGGAGGGACGGACCAGAGAGAAGGCAGCTGGTGCTCCTCCTGAGATACATCACAGGTATGAGACCCATGGGGGTTTGATGTCCAATACATGTCTGCTAATATTTTCCTTAATTCTCTCTTTAGTATTCCTCTATCAAATAGACCAGTAGTGGCAAGCCTATGGCACACATGCTGCAGAGGATGTTTGTATCACTGAAAGCTTCAAAATGGTCACCATCACCAATAGAGACTGCGCTTGTGTATTTGAAGTAGTTTTTCATCAGCTTCCCAATCACATGACTTACTGTCAAATGACTTTGTAAGCTTTAGTCCTTAAAAATGTGGCCCCCATTTACCGCTTCTCTTTCTACCCTTTCTGACTCCTCCAGCCTTGACAACTAGACCTGCTAATAACATTTTTAAGAACACCACTCCCACTTCTCAACTTCTGGTTTGAGTACATTCTTTAGTGATTTGTGTGCTGGTGAGCTCATCCCCAGGGCCACCATCCTGGTCTTGGGAGGATGAAGGCCCTTTAAGAGGCAGGGTCTACAAGGGTAGTTAGGTCATCACTGCCCTTGGAAAGGATAGCCACAGTTCTCAGTGCTCTGGTTGGTTCCAGAGAGCAGGCTGCTCTAGAATAGCAAGCCTGGCTCCTACATCCCCCTGGCTTCCTGTCTGGCCGTGTGACCTGCCCTTTGTGTGCACTGTCACCTTGATGTCATCTGGCATTGTGGAATGTGGCCAAGAGAGCCCAACAGAGGCCAGACAGTTGGGACCACCTGACCCTGGACTTTGAGACTCCAAAACCTGAGCTACATAAACCTCTTTTCTTTAGGAGCCCTTAGCTTCAGTTATTTTGTTATAGCAACAGAAAACAGACCAAGACAGAGGCTTTGAAGACTCAACTTTGCGGGAATTGTGGGTTTACCTTTCCCTCTGGTCTGCACCACACCTGCCTACTTTCTGTTCCCTCATTTTTCTAGTACGGTTAAGGCATAGCTCTGGTTAGCTCAACACTGCCATCACTGTTATAAATGCACCTCACTGGTGAGTTGTGTGGTATACTTTTCCTGTCCTGTATTACTTACTTGCCATTTGCTCTCAAGTTGCTTTGTTTCTGTTAGTTTTCATGCTTTTCTGCAAATGTGTAACCTTTTTTCAAAAAACGAAGTAAGTAAAGAAAAATTTCTAGACCAAAGTCAGATGAGTCGAGTCTTTAGTGCCTCTGTCTTGGTTTGTTTTCTGTTGCTGTAACAAAATAACTGAAGCTAAGGACTCCTAAAGAAAAGAGCTTTGTGTAGCTCACGTTTTGGAGTCTCAACATCCAGGGTCAGGTGGCCTGTTTCTCTTCCTGAAGACATTGCTCTCATAGCCTTTCGACAAGCTCTGCTCTGTATGGGTTGCTCTCTGGACTTTCCCTCCATGTCCTCCCAGGAATTTCCTTTCCTCCCTATGATGTTTGGTCCTGTTTCCTGCATCTACTCTTTCTTGCGTCACATGCTCATTTTTGGTGAAGCTGCTCTTCCAGGCCGGCCTCATGCTCATGGTCATCTGGCTTCAGTCTCTCCACTAAAAAGGATATCTTGATAAAAAGACAAGGGGAAACAACGTGAGATGTTGCCTGTCAGGAAACGCACCTTCACAGTTTACTAGTTCAGCAGGTATGGTTGTGTAGGTGGAACATAATTTCTCAAAGTTTTGAAAGCATTTATTTTATTTTCTTCTCATTTCCAGTGTTATATTTTGGAAGTCTAACTCTTGGTACATTGTGTAGAATCTTTTTTCTCTCTCTCTAGAAAGTTTTAGGGCTTTTTATTTGTCCCTAACATTCCATAAGGTCACTGATGTGCTTGGTTTGGGTCTGTTTTCATCTGTTGTCCTAGGTATCTGATACATGATTTTGATCTGGAACTTTGGTTTTAGAAAATTCTCTTTACTTACTTCATGATGATTTATTTTCTCCATTTTCTCTATTCTCTGTCTATCTGTCTGTCTGTCTGTCTCTCTCTTGAGACAAGGTCTTGAACTCACTATGTAGGCCAGAATAACCTGAAACTCATGGTGATCCTCCTGCCTCAGCCTTCCAAGTGCTGGGATTATAGGCACCATACCCAGCTGTTTTTTCTGCTCTCAATTGCCAGAGTTCCTATTATTCAAATCTTGTGCCTTCTGGACTTGATTTCTCCTCTGCCCTTTTTTAATCTAATTGTTTTTGCTCTGTTTTCTGGGAAGTCATCCTCACATAGCAGTCTCTTATCTCCCTGAGGATCATTCTTCTCCTGGTACAATCTGTTTCCCCTTGGTTGCTTTTACTGTTTTTATTTCTGTTTTTTATATACATACACACTTTGCTCAAACATCTGGTGACCCTTGCCCATTTGTGAGAGTGTATCTCATACCACCTCACCATGGAAACTGGTTTTGAGATTCATGGCAAAGTGATATGGCTTTGCCTTGTTTTGTGGTTTGGAGGGGATGGCTGCCCACATCTGGGGTTCCTGGAAAGGAAGGAAGCTGGGGCTCTCCATGGTCAGTGTGTCATCTTTCCCTGAATCCCTGTTTTCAGTGCTGGATGCCTGGCCTCAGCTCTTTCCTCCTCTGCAGCCTCAACCCAGGGGGAAGAAGGGCTTGGTCTCACAGCAAATCTAGGGTGGGGGACAGGCATTTTCCTGTCTTTAGTGTCATCTATATTTCCTCTTCCAGAGTCACCTTGCCAACTCTTGAGGTTATCTAGGCTCCTTTGGTCCAAATTAGATTTCTGGGTATTTTTTTTTCTCATTGCCAGTTTTGGGTTAATCCTTCTTAGGTCTAGTTAGTTCTACTCACTCATCTGCAACCCAGCTTCCAAAATTCTGTCCTTATTCTCGCCCTTCTGCCTTTTGACTAACAGTGCTTATTCTATCACCTGTATGTTACGAGGCTGAGAGGTAAGACAAAGGTAAACTAAAGATGTTACTTTTAAAAACATTATTTTAATAAAAATTACTGTACTTATCACATTTATATACTTTTCCATTAAATGTTGACTATATTAAGATTCTATTCTAAATGCCTGCCCATGATATATTTCAATAGCTACAATACTTTGTTGAACTGACTGTATTAAAAAGTTGAAGTCTTTGGCTGTGGTTTTTTGAGAAGGAAATGGAACAAACAGGCCCCATTTATTTACTGCCAGGCAAGGGAAGAGGCTTCTGTGCCTGCTCAGGTCTGAGGGGCATGCTGTTACACAATCGTTCTATTTTGCATCGACTTCCAGCGACAATGCATCCTGTGAGTCCCACATAATCTACCCTCAGAGAGCCAGATAATTAAAACAGGCTTGGAGGCTCATATAGTAAATCATTTTCCCTCTGGCTGAAAGCATTATCAGTCCATTATGGCACCAAGAAAGGAGCTTGGTGAGTTTAATATATATCCTAGAAAACCTAGGGGATATCAACTCTCTAACTCAATAATATACTAAGTAAGATAAGGAAAAACAGAATGTCTTTCAGCTCCTTAGACACTCATTTCCACCCATTCCCTCTGGAAGGCCTGAGGCTACTGCTTGTATTCTCTGCTCTTCCTTTCTGGGCCAGAGAAAGCCAAAGCCCAGGGAGTGGAGAGGAGTTCATGGGATGAGAGGTAGAGAAGAGCTCTGCTGGATGTGGGCCTGCACTAGCTTGCTCTCCTCACCCCTTTGTAGAGACAGGCCCTGTGCTTGGTAGGTTTCTTGCTATCCTGATGGAATGTAATTTTTACTTGAGCGTGGCATATAATGCTCAAGATGGAAAAGATAGTGAAAACCTCATTGGAAAGTCTTCTGAAGGACACAAAGAGAAAGTCAAGCTCTTTATTGTGGTATATTTCAAGCATTTAAAATAGCAAAAGCAGGTGCCAGGTGTGATAGCACATGCCTATAATCCCAGCACTTGGGAGACTGAGGCAGGAGGGATCAACACAAGTTCAAGGCTAGCCTGGACTACCTAGTGAGACTATCTGTCTCAAAAAACCAAAAAGAAAAGAGAGACAGAGGGAAAAGCAAAGCAAAAATAGTAGTCTCTAGTGCTCAATACCCAGCTTTGACAATTATCAACACTTACTAATATAGTAAAATCTATTCTTCTCCCTTCTCTCATTAAAAATTTTTGCTAGAGTAGTTAAAACAGATTCCAGATGGCATATCATTCTTACCTTAAATACTCTACTTGGTCAGAATTTTCCTTCATTTATATAGAACTATAACACATTATTATCCCTAGAAAAATTAATAACTCCTTGATAGAATCTGACACCCTGGTCTATAATAAAATTTCCCAGATTATTTGAAAAATATCTTTTTATGGAGGATTTGTTTGAATCAAGAACAAAATAAGATCTGTTTATCACTCCTGATTTATGTCTTGGAAATCTCTTTGAATTAATAATGGAAACCTTACTATCCTTTTTTTGTGGCCTTGCACTAGCTCCCTAGTGTTTTGGAGTGCTGGGAACTGAACCCAGGACCTTGCACAATGCCAAACAAGTGTTCTACCACTGAGTTACATCCTTTGCCCCAAGTCCTACTCTTGAAGTTCCACATAAATGTGTGCTTAGAAAAGGAGGCAGGCCTGCAGGAGACTCTGCTCTGCTGGCATACCAGTATACAACATTACTCCCAGCTACAAGCCCTGTTTTAATCTCGCATTCTTCCAAATGTGAAGTGCCCTCAGGCCTGGTCTAATGGTTCCTCTAATGAGGTAAGAAACAGTCAATTTTAAAATAATTGCATTCTGCCTTATTTACTGATACAACTAAACAAACTTTGGAGACATTGGCCTGTCAGATTTATGCATTTCTAAAAATTTCTGTTATGTTAAAATTAGGAACCCATACTGTAGAATGCAGTGATGGTCCACTTAGATACATGGAACTAACCTCATTACAAATACATGTACTTGAGGTTGTTTCAGAAATAACCGCAAGCAAATGACTTCAAGTGGTGGTGGTGGTATAGTGTGAACACCTTCAATAAAGACAGAAATACCTACCACCCAGTGCTTCTGGTCATTCCTCTGCTCCCATGTATTCTGCCTGTTTTGAAATCCTTCCTTTATTCCTATTCCTCCAAAGTGTTTGTCCCCCTGCCTCATTTCTCCCATTCTCTCTTTTCTATATCCAACTGCTGTATATTGAGGGTCTGCTGTGTGCATAAACTAGATTCCCTAAACTAGCATCTACAGAATCCTTTCAACAGCTGGGAATGTCATCACTCCATCTGGCAGAGGTAAAGCTCAGGCATAGAGGTCTGCTGATCTGCTCACTGAGCCCTAAAAGCCACACTTTTTCCAGTGCTTGTACTTCACAGCTAAGTGGACCAGTGAAGAAAGATCAAAATTAACCTCCAGAGAGGTTCCCAAACAGTTGGAAGTGGCCAGTACCTGCTCCATGGAATCCCCCGCAGACATAGAGCTTCCCGTCCACTGCCCCAGCATTGGTGGAATTCGTTCGGAGAGAGAGAAGGGGACTTGGCATAGGTGGGCCCTCTCGCCAGAAGTCCCCATCTGGGTTGTAGATCTCCACCACATCAAGGCATTTCCGAACCTGGCCTCTATCTCGCCCCAGGCAGCCAATTCCACCTACAGAGAATGGAACACAGACAGGAGATGATCAGGAACTGAAACTGCAACATGGACAGTGCCCTGCTGGAGCAGGCTGTAGGACTGGTTTATGGAGCTTGGCTTTTCTTTCTTGCCTGATATTACTTCTTAGATAATTTCTAAGCAATGTTGATAGCATAGCCAAATTTACTGTAGTTTTTGCTTGGGTTCTCTCTATGTGTCTGTATGAGACTGATCCCATTGTGAGCCTTAGATTCAACATATCTGGTGCTGGTTTCCACAAGGTCAGGCTTGTACCTGAGGGTAATGTGCCATGAACATTGGCTTCGCTGCTGAAGGTCATCAGTGACCTTGCTGATTTAGCTACCTAGGATTGGGTCATTCCTATCCCTCATTAAGCTAGTCTCCCCTCTCCTTCTCAGTTGCACGAATGTTTCCCAATGAAGAAAGCACTATTCTTTGTAAGTTTTAGGTTTGTGCTTAAAGGAAGGCCTTAAACTCAGATAGCCAGTGCATCCCACATTTTTGGATGATACAGTTCTTCTGCCAGATACCCATTAAGTGCCCATTATGCACTTGTGCACTTAGCACAAGGCCATGTGCTAAGTGACAAGGAGTTTAAAAGATACACAGAGTATAACACAGGTTTCCTTCCCTTAAGAGATGCATGAGATAGACCAAGTCATTTATGAAAATATAGAAGAGGATAAAATGACATGTAGCTTAAAAGGGATACAAATTAGATTCAGAAATCTAGAGATAGTAGCAAGTAACAGAAATAATATTTGCAGAATTCTGATTAAGTATACCCCTCCTTGGGAAAAGTAAAATTGTGTAAGACTTCTCAGTTCAATGTAAAAAAACAAACAAACAAGCAAAAAGCAAAAAAGCAAGTTGGTAGATGATTTTTGTTTTTGTTCTCCCCTCCCAAATCCTACAGTGAAAAGTCTTTGTGGTCATCTTCTTGGACTGGAAGGATGACTCCTAAGGCTGGTGAATTCCCGAGGGGAGGGGCACTCTTTTCCTCCTGGGCCCCATTCCATCCAGACCCACATCCTGATTCACTTGACTGACAAAAACAAAAACAAACCAGCAAACAAACCGGAAAGTGCTGGCCTTGTCTATACTAACTCTTTTCCCGGGCGAGCCACTGCATGTGTAGGGTGGTGACTGGTGCTGGGTATGTTGTTTACAGCAACATCAAAACCCAAACGAGGAAGAATGGTAATCTCATGGTTTTTACCTTATGCAAAAGGGTCACTTGCTGAGAAATTAACTGCATACTGCCTTGTAGCATTTCTCCTTTTACTTCTATTTAACACCCTTTACCCACATTGTATTAGCCAGATGGTGTTTCATCAACATCTGTTTTCTTCTCTTGCTCACTGAACCTGTTCCCCAGTCCTAAGCACAGCACCTAGCACACTGGGTGTCTGAATGAATGAATGAATGCAAAATTTAACTTTCCATGTGCTTCTCTGTCCAGGTGGGTATTCTGTAAGCTCACTGAGGATAGAGGCAATTTCAAGGGCACTTTGTACAGGGCCTGCCACAGAAGGTGATGGGAGTAGCTTACTTGCACCCAGTTAGGGCTTAAGCCAGGTGTCAGAGGTGACAAGAAAGGGGTTTGTGGAAAACTTTTTGCTGCTTTGTTGATGAAGTATGGCCTGCTTCCTGTCGCAGTATGAATCCAGGGACTGAGCCTACAAACTCAGGAAGCTTTAAGCTGCTTTCTCTCTTATCCGATTGGATAAATAATTTAGCCCATTACAACTACAAGTCTGACCTGCCACGTTTCCGAGGCAGGTACACACTGGCCTCAGTCAATAGCTCAGCTCTGCTGTTTGCAGGCCATTCTCACTGTGGCACTCTGGGAGCACTCTTTTCTTTTCTTTTCTTTCTTTCTTTCTTTCTTTCTTTCTTTCTTTCTTTCTTTCTTTCTTTCTTCCTAGGGAATAAAACCAAACAAAATAAGACAGGATAAACCCAATCAAAACAGTGAAAGTGGTACAGGACTTCAAAATAGGATAATAGAAAATCAACAATGGCTACCATAATACCTCTTGTTTTCTTCAAAATAGCTGCCCATACCTTCAGGTTTAATAAAAATCAAACAAAACAGAACAGAATAAAGCCAATAAAAACAAGATAACAGGAAATCAGTGGCTTCCATAATATATTTTGTTATCTATAAAATAGTTGCCCATACCATCAGACATAATAAAATCAAACAAAACAATGAAAATGATACAGGAATTTAAAACAAAATAATAGGGAATTAACAATGGCTTCCACCTTCAGAAGGAGATCCCTATAGTTGCTATATTGCATATTGTTATTCTCTAAATAGATGCTCAGTCTACTGGTTTTAGACTTGCAAAGTCAATCAAACAATACAAGCATTAAGTTGCTTCTTTACTTCAGTAGCAACTGGTGCTGACATGTTAATAAAGATCATGCCTGTGTTTCTCATAATCAGCCAGTTGCTTATGGGAGTGGGGCTTGGCACTACAGCAAGAGGTTCCTTAGCCTAACAAAATGTCGAATTGGTCCAGAGCAGCTGAACCCAGCACCTCGCCATAAGGATAAGATGATTTAGTTGTTAATTTCTATAAGATCCAGGAGAGATGAGATTGTACTGGGTGAATACACTTAATTCAGGTAACCAGTAAGTGAGGCAAACAGGTTAAATGTGAGTCTCTGGGGGTCAGGCTAGGGCACCTTGAATGCCAGTCTCCTGAATCCAAGTCAGAAGTTCACATAAAAACCACTTAGAAAAGCTGCCCCTACACAATGCATAGAAAGAATGGGTATTAGTCACTTGATTTTTTCTGAATAATGAGAGTACTTATCATTTCTGTTGCTTTGCTACCAAGTTTATTCAATTATAATGTTTAGCCCTTACTCTATAAAACTAACCTTTCTACTATGTGCCCTTTCAACCTGAGTGGCAGAGAGTTCAGATGCTTTACTTGAGGGGCAACATGGCTTATAAGTTACTCCACCTTTGTTTTTCACCACTGACTCCTGGGAACATCCTCTGTCTCAGGTGTAATTCCCCATCAAACACACTCTGTTAGCTGCAGACTTAATGAGCTTAACTGAAGGTGAATCTTGATTAGATAAATAATCAAATAAAGGCATGATCTTTATTAATAAGTCAGCACCAGCACTACAAGAGAAATCTTTTGATGAGAGATCCTAGGGTAGGATCAGCACATCTGTAGAATGTCAATGAGATACCTCCATATCTTTAATTTATATGCTATCAAAAGCTCTGAGCAGAACTTTCCTTTATTCAAAAACAGGCAAATGAATGGAAATTATCTTTTCAAGTCATACACAAATGGACCTCAAACGCAAAATAAAGACCTGGATTATTTTGGGGATGGAGTACAGAGAGATAATTATAGAAGAGGACAATGCCTTCCTTTCTTCATTTTCATTTCTGAGAAGATGAAGACTTCCTTTTGTTGTGTTGGGTTGTGATATTCTTTCCTTTCTGAGGGTTGTGGGAGTCAGCCTCTCCTGGGAGCTGGGGGAGGACATAGAGGGAGTGGTGCCTCTCTGACAACCCCCCAGGACTTACAACCCAGTAGCCCTGGCCCCTGTGCCCTTCAACCCCAGTGCTGCCTCTAGGTGGCAGGCATACATAGCCTATGCTCCCCTGGGTTGGATCCAAACTACAAGAGAGGTCTGTAACACTTCTGAAGTTTCCTGAAGTGCTTACTAAACCCCTCTCTGGAGGGAATGGCTATGAGAGAGTGTGTGTGTGCGTGTGTGCGTGTGTGTGTGTGTGTGTGTGCGCGCGCGCGCACGCACGCGCATGTGCGCATGCTCCAGTGTAAAACTAACTCCTCTAAGCCAGAGTTTTTCCCATCTGCAAATTCAGGATAATGTCACTTTCATAAATTGTTATAGGGATTAAACTATTAGAAAACCACGGACAGCAGAAGGGTAAGGAGGAACTCATCTCTGTGAATTTCTATAGGAATTTTCTTTTATATATTAACTCTCATGCACTGACATATAAGGATAGCTCTACATAAAATGGCCAGCATGCAGTCAGTACTTGTGGTAATTTTTGTTCTTTTCTCCTTCCTCCTCTTTTACAGTACTGAGGACTGAACCCAGAGCCTTCACACTGATCTACATCCCCAAGCCTCCCCCTTTTATTTTTAGTCAAGATCTTGTTAACTTGACCAGGATTGGCTCTAATTTTTGATCCTCCTGCTTCAGTCTCTCAGAGTGCTAAAATTACAGGCACGAACTACCATGCCAAACTCTTATTCTGTCTCCTGTTCTAGGATGTTTACAAATAAACCAGTACTTACTAAAGTTTTGAAATTTAACCTTTGATTTCTCTCAATTTAATGATCTGGTATGTCTATAATTGGTGGCTTTGATTGGCTCAGTAGCCCTGAGGGTGGGCAGAGACACAAGGAAGGTCAAAGAGTTAGGAAGTCAGCAGAGCCTTCTCTCAGCCCTTGTGCCTCTCACGTGACCTAGAGTCACTCATTTGGTCATGAACTTCTGAGAGAGGTGGGAGAGGTCATGTGGACAGGAAATCTCTACAATCTGGAAGCTCCTGGCATGAAACTGGCCATGTATCTGTGGTGATAGCGAGTTGTCAGCTGACTTTTTTACACTTTCGTTTTAATTCCAGATTTAGAACCTAAAACCTTAGAAAACATGAACTGTCATTTTGCACAGTCTAACACAGGAAAGCTGCTGGCTATTTTCAAACAAAAGTCCTTACTTGCCTTTTACGAGTTTTGGATGGGGTCAAGTGACACTGACTTATTGTGTATCTTAGGTTCCCAGACCTTCCACTGATATATGCTGTTTGCTTGTGACAACTTTTTCTCAGCAAACTAAAAAAATACAGTGATCTGTCTGTTTTTTTGTTTTTTGTTTTTTTTTGGTACTGGGGATCAAACTAATGAGTTTGCTCATGCTCATCAGGCAGGCACTTACACCACTGAGCTTACACCACTGAGCCAAATCCCCAACCCCTA